ATATATATATATATATATATATATATATATATATATATATATTTTTTTTTTATTTTTTGTTTTTTTTTGAGCATTTTTATTTTTTGTTTTTTTTTTTAAAGCATCACAAGAATTGAATCCTTTTTTTGTTGTTTCGAAAGTTGGAGAACTGATTACCCAAAGTAGTTCGTGGCAATGGAAATGAACGGTATTTAAAACGAACTAGGTTTAGAGCTAGCTATATATCATATATAAAAAAAAAAAAAAATTTTGTTTATCGCTAGTTTATAACGTTTATAGATTTTTTTTTTTTATAATTTCAGACCTCTGGTCTATATTAAGCCGAAAATCAATAGAAACATTTCTGAAAACCATGTAAGAGTAAGAAACGGTTAACCAGAGATTTTATAATTAAAAGGTCGCAAGTATGTAAAGCAGTAAATAAACATTGTATTCCTATTGCAAGTGTATTTTTAGCCAAATCTAGACAATTTTTGCATTGAACTTTTAAGGAATCCTTGGTAAATATTTGTTATAGCTTTTAAATTATGTTATCTGCTATGGATTGTAGTTTATTGTTTTTCGTTAATAGAGTGTCCGACCATTATCGGAGCAAAGCAAACTTATGACTATCAACGTTCACGTTAATTTTCAAATTTCCTAATTCATTTCTTAAGGTTCGCGATAAAGGCCGATAAATGGCCGGACGAATAGATCGACTGGCGTAGTTCACAATCTTATAACGATCAAGAAAGTCCGATGTTACAACAAACAGAGGAAATGATTACATTTTCTGTTGCTCCATGTTATTGATGCTTTCGTTTTCAAGCATCTATGTAAGGTATTCGAAAGCTCTCTCTACCGTTATGTGACTGTGTTGAAAGTAGAAAGTGCTTTCCTTTACAGTGTGAACTCAAGACGGCTTTTATAACTGTGTTTGAAATAAATTTTATTTGTAAACAATTTTCGAAAACTAAAAAAGCTGATTGCCTTGTTTATTAAGAATGCTAGCAGCCTGCTTTTACCTATGTTAGCATTAAAAATCTATGGGCACAGTGAAGGCGATTTGAGATGTTTTTTTTTTTTTTTAATTGTAAACTAAAAGAAAAAGCGAAAACAAAAAAAAAAAAAAAAAAAAAAAAAAAAAACTGATACATAAACAATGATGTATAAGTTAATTGCTAACAAAAACAAAGAAAAGCAAAAATATTTACTATAATATATAAAACAAAATGATTTATTTATGACGTAGCTTAGCGCATTAAACGTCCGATAAAATGCAAAGAGAGAGAGCAAGAGAGAGAGAGAGAGAGAGAGAGAG